GTGAGCAAGCGAGCCAGAGTGTGTGTGTGTAAATGTGCGTTCTGTGCAGACACGAGAGTGTGAAGTACTCTGTTTCTATGCTCGCCCCTCCTTCATCTTCACTCAAACAGGCCACACTTCATGCGAAGCAGCACGACTATCACCAGCATTATCAACAACAATAGCTGCTGCTGCTGCTGCTTACCACGCCCTTGTACACTTCACCGCGCACACGCGACTTGGAGTATCTGCATGCCATTAAGTGCACGTGTAGATCAGAGGAAATGGGAGAGTTGTTGGTGAGAATGGTGGTCAAAATACACGCGGCAGGGTGCTGAGCAATTGTTGTGGTGTGTGCGTGTGTGCGTGTGTGTGTCTGTCTGTCTGTCTGTGTGTGTGTGTGTGCGTGTGTGTTGTGTCTGTGTACGTCTGTGTGTGTCTGTGGAACGTCGTACAACACAGCTAGCAGTGCAGTTACAAGCAGTTGAATGTGATTATCGTACCCGCCGTACACATACACGCCGTCCTTGGTGGCCACCATCTGGCATGCTGAGCGTGCATCAGGCGCGGGCTTGACCTGTGGGAACACAAGTTTGTCCCACCTGTACACATTGACGCAAAGGTTGTGTGTGTGTGTGTGTGTGTGTGTGTGTGTGTGTGTGTGTGTGTGTGTGTGTGTGTGTGTGTGTGTGTGTGTGTGTTACGGGGATAGAGAACAAGCAGATGCAGACAAGCAAGGAAAGTGTACCCTTCGTACAATAGCCCATGCCACCGCCATCATGTCGGTCACATGCACGCATGTACGCACGCACGCACTCACCTGTAGTTCTCGAGATCAAAGAGGTGGACGTCGTTGAAGTACTTTGGCGCGTGCTTTGCGTCGTCGTGGAAGCCGCCAAACACAACAAGGCACTTGTTGAACAGCACCATGCGATGGCCTGGATATGAAGCAACGCAGGCGGCGAGTGGTCAAGACCATGACACATGATGAACAGAACCACCCCCCCCCCTTGCACACGCACAGCTACACACACACGCACACACACACACACACACACACACACACACACACACACACACACACACACACACACACACACACACACACACACAGCGCACCACTTCTGCTGGACGGCGCTCCGGATCGCGTGACCTTCATCCACTTCTTGTCTTTGATGTTCAGGCACCAGAGATCATTGAAGTGCTTGAAGGTGCTGCCGGTTGGGCTCGAGTACTCGCCGCCAAACACCCACATCTGTCCACCAAGGCGGCTCACGCTCACCGCCTGGTGGCCGCTGCGTGGCGGTGGACCCTTGGGGATCTGCACATTACGCCAGTCGTCCTGGAGAGGTGGGACACAGGAGGAAGAGCAGTGGTTGATCAGACATGTGCAGAGGTACAGCAGACGTTCTGCGCATGCGCACATGTATACGAATTCACGCACAAGGTCGGATGCTTGACGTGCACAGACGGACCCACTCACACACACTCACTCACGCACACGCACTCACACGCATTTACTCACTCGCTCGCTCACTCACACGCACTCATGCACACTCACATCACACGCACGCACTCACTCACTCACTCCGCACACTCACTCACACACGCACACACACACACACACTCACACTCTCACACACTCACACACCCACTGACACACACCTTCTTGATGTTGTAGAAGAGAAGCTCGCCGTACACAAAGGTCTTGATGCCGTTGGTGAACTCGCCGCCAAACAGGATCAGCTCGTCGTTGGTGGGCGACAACACGAGCGACGCATACGCGCGCGCAGACACGGACTTGCGAGGCAACTCCGTCACCTTCTCCACACCCTTGTCCATGTCCATGAACTGCGCAATCAAGGCATCCAGGTCCTCCTCCTTTGCGTTCTTTGCCTTGCGCTTGCTCTTTGCCTCAGCCTTCCTCTGCTTGCGCGCCTCCTTCTCTTTGCGGGCCTGCCGGCGCTCCCGCCGATCAGATGCGTTCTTCCGCCCCATGTCCGCAGTCTTGCGCTAAAGTGCTCAGTTTTGCCTGCACGTGTTGTGCGCACTGTTGTTTGTTGTTGCTTGTTGTTTATGGAATGAATAGTGGCAAGCACAGTCAACAGTGGAAGCAACAGAAACAGCAGGGCATGAGGGCAGTAATGTAATGTAACACGACACAGCCAAGGCCATCGAGCCAAGGGTAAGCGATGAGCAACACGGACCCCAATCCATGCGTTGAGCAATGTATGATGTACATCTGTGTGAGACACTGTATCACATAATCGCAGCAATGTCACGTCATCACGCGTGTGCAGCCTGGAAGTCGCGCATGAACTGTGCGAGCACTTCTGTCTCCTCCATCGTCGTTGCGTTGTACAGCGACGCCCGCAGCCCGCCAACAGACCTGCACATCCATCAGAGAAGAGCGGAAGCATGGGCATTGAGGCGGTGTGTGTATGTGTGTGTGTGTGTGTGTGTGTGTGTGTGTGTGTGTGTGTGTGTGTGTGTGTGTGTGTGTGTGTGTGTGTGTGTGTGT